ACTGCCCACTTTGTCCGGGGACCCAGGCAAAGTCTCCCAGAATTGATACAATAGAGATGGCGATAAAGAAATGTGTTTAACCAAACACCAAACTGGAAATTAGATGTGCAAATCCTTTTCCGAGTGATCACACTGAGAGACAAGGCCTTCCTACAAATATACTGCTGTGGCTTGAAATTCTTCCAGATAATTACAGGTAGCAAATCAATGGAATACTAAGTATAGGTTCTTTACACCCTCAGTAGGGTCAAATATTTGCCTCTCATTCCAACATGTTTATTCAGCAAGTATTTACTGAGTGTCTGCTGAGTGCCAGGCATGGTTCTGGGCATGGTGGACACAGTGGTGAACAAAAGTCCTGCCCTCCTACAGCCAACTTACATTTTAGAGGGAAGAATGACTATCAACAACGAAAGGCAGATTTCAGTTTGGGAAGCAGACTAGAGTCACAGTGGGCTATATGTAGAGAATAATGTAGGTGATCAAATGGGATCTTGGTCAACAAAAATCATACGCAGGAGCAAAGGGTAACAAACTTTTCTGTGCCTTAACAACTAGCCTTAAGGGCAATTCCAAAACTGGTCCTGTGGGTAGTTCCAAATGTGGCAGCAGTATTAGAAATCAAGAGACTGCTCTGAAGGTTAGTATTCACTTTGATGCCTAAATTCTGATATATATTTTTAAAATTATTTTCACCTCTCATTAATGTTTCTATTTTTTGGTAAGCCCAATTAGGACAGTTACAACCTATTTATATTTTTCTTCCAGAAAAATAACTGCTTTAGTTAATTGCTGCAAGGAGAGTAAAAACTTACCTTCTTTTTCTAAGGATGCAAACAGCATTAACATACCAGATAACTATCATGAATGCACCCCGTGCATATTAAAGATCTCATGTAACTTGACATGCATGTGGTTGGCAGAGTAGGAAGCAAATCAGCAGAAGCTCCAGCATATTTCCTTCTGAATGTTGTGATTTTTTTTTTATTCAAAAAAAATGATTTAACATTTTTTTTTCTTCATTTAGGTCTCTTTACATCTGTGATAACATTATCCTGGTGCTTTTCACTAGCATGATAAAATCTTGTTGTGCAATTTTCCCTTTAAATTTCAGACAATCTACCATCTACTAAAATGTCTCCATGCTTTACCTATATATGCTAATTACATTAGTTCTTCTGTAATGAACGTTACAAGTTAATTTTTAACTTTGTTAAAAGTTAATACCACCATGCTTTTCAGTTCTAAGACATAACCAGTTATAAAATGCAATGCTGATTTAATAATAGATTTTTGGGAAGAAAGTAATTGTGATTTAAAGTACTCATTAGATATACTTATGTATTATAAGATGAATCCTGATTTCAGAAGCATCAAAAGGTGAAGGCAAGTGTCTTCTCATTAAGAAAATATGACAAATTAATCAAATGCCTCAAAACATGATGAATTAACGCTAGCTGTTGTGGCTATCTTCTGTATGTTGTTGTCATTTTGGTCACATACTCCAGTATTTATGACAACTGATTACCCTGCTTGAGGAAGCCACAGATTTGTCTAAATCAAAGTATCATATCAGTATTTAGCTGAGGTTTGCTTATACATACATTTGAATTTTACATGCTTTTGGACTTTATTCTAAAATCTCAATAATTGTCCCAAGTTTATATTACTTAAAAATTTAATTTTAAAGAGGCAATTTAAATCAACCATAGGTAGATGTTATGCTTGAGAGAGTGTGGAGGATTGTAAGAATGCACACATTCCTCAGTCTCTCGGGTTTTTATTCTGCAACAAGGCTCTCACTTGCATTCCAGATTTCCTGTGTACCCTCCTAAAATCCCAGCCTTGTAACATGAGACTAAGCTCTTTCTCAACTTTCCAGGCATTCTTCTCTGGGAACTTCAGTTGTTTAAGAGAATCCTTTTTACAGGTTTACAAATGCTATTTTCCCATGACTTGACGATGAATAAACTTCTGCTTTGGTTAATCACCCTTCCATGTAGCTACAGGAGATAGCCCTGTGACTTTCAGCCTGTGGTCTTCATGTGCGTTGTATTATAAAGAGTCAAAAGCTCTTCTCTTTGTCATCGCAGGCGCTTTTAAGTAGAAAAAAGAAAATGTGACTTTTATATTGCATTTTTTGTTTCATTTTGGTTGGAAATGTTCTTTGTGTGATGCTATGTCTTACTAATTGAACATCACCAGAAGAATTTGTATGTTCAAATTTCCCTTGTAGCAACAGAATCTGTCTTACTATGGTAAATAAGAAAAACTAAACATTTCAGTTTCATCCAGTTCAACTCATTTCAACAAGGTAACTTTGCAAGAATTTTTTTGAGCACTTTGTTTTTATTTATTTTTCATGAAAATATGAAAATATACACAGCAAAACATACACCAATTTAGCAATTTCCACATGTACAATTCAGTGTCATTGATTACATTCTTCAAGTTGTGCAACCATTCTTGCTCTCCTTTTCCAAATTATTCCACCACCATTAACATAAACTCAAATCTATCAAGTTGCTGTTGTCAGTTTGATCCCATACAGATAATTCTTTAAAAGAGCACAATGCTCAAGGGAAACAGTCTTTACTAATTAACTACTGTTTGGCTTAAAGATGACTTCAGTGGATAATTCTGGTTTAATTTTTAGAACAATAGTTTTGGTGGCAGGGGTGGGGGCACATGGTCATCCAATCTCAATGGCTCCAGAAAGTCTGGATTTTCTGAGAAATCAAAAAGAAATTCTGTTCCACGTTTACCCTCCTTTTGACTAGGATTCGTCTATAGAATTTTTGATCAAAACATTCAGTAATGATATCTGGGCACCATCCAGTTCTGGTAACTTTGCAAGAATTTAAGGTCAGAATCCCAACATCTTAACTACATTTCCCAAAATATAAAGGAATGTCAGGACTAAAACTACTTTTTAAAAAAGTGAAACAGTAAACTTTGCTCTTGTCAATTATATATTCTAGCACTTTCTAAAATTTGAAACTTTATGTGCAATGAATCAAATATTGCCAATTAAGAAGTAACCGCTATTTGGAAGTAATTTGGGATCACTTAAAGGAACAGTATTTCATGATACTTTGAAGCACTGCTTTAATATACGGTTCCTTAATAATCTAAAATAATTGTGCATGTTCTCCAAATAGTCTCAATATTTAGTAGACTTTGAAACTACTCACCCATCAAAATTGTGCGTAAAAAAATGGATTATCTTCCTTTATTTTAGTTTTATTTGAATGTATGAATACTCTTTTCTTAATCACTTTGCATTCTAAACAGTTAATTATGTACTGTGCATAAAGCAAACAACAAAACCTGTATAAAAGGAAGTGTTCATTTGAATCAAAGTGGTTCTAGCTTTTACTTTATGTATAATAAAGGAAGTACCTTGCTAAGGCTTGGTTGAATTTTAAAACTTCATTTTCATTAATTTTTACAGGTCTTAAAAATCAAGATTCTTTGCATATGTCAGTAAATAAAACCTATGAATAGGTTACCAGAAGAAAGTACTAAGTACTGAACTAAATTTATAGAAAATAGTATTAGAAAAAAATACCTCAGAAATACCTATACTTTCCCAACTGTACGATCTTGTGGAACGTTAGTTGCTTTTTCAGGTGAAAAAGATTCAAAATTGAACTAAGTGTGGGAAATGCTAACTACTGTATGATTTCTTATCTCCACACTCCAGTCACAGAGCGTATTAGCCCATTAAAGGTTTTGAGGTATCCTCCAGTATATGCACATACACACACACACACACACACACACACACACACATGCATGCATACGCGTGCACTTACAAGCCTTTAACTTTACTTAGCCTAGTATTGTTCAAGCTTCTTTGACCACAGAAAGCTTCCTCTGAATAATGTCAAGTCCCACAGTACCCAGTGAACTATTTCTTTGGTTCTGAAGATATGACATATTTACTATATATTAGACATTAGTTATTTTGTTAAAAATTAATAAAGCATATCCCTGGTTGATAATTTTGAAAAAGAAATTTCAGATCGGTAGTTAATATTTTTAGTAAACATTTTAACAGATTATGCAAAAATACGCTATTTTATCTCCTTGTCATGAATTTTTAGAGAACTTCTTTTTAAGTAATACTAATACACACGTATTTCCTGTATCCAATTTCATATAGTTATTGGATTTGTATTTTTAAATCCACAATTATTCTAATATTTCAAGCACAAGGATTATTAATATTTACATAAACACTTGTCTTCATGCTTTGGGAAGGGAGGAGCAGATGTCTATGTTTAAATGTCTATTTAAACATCTAAATGGTAAAGACACTTTGAAGATCAGAGACTTTTTTAAAAGGAGAATTTTCAGCATCTCTGCAGATAAATGCTATGAGGCATATTCCGAATTTTATAAATGTACATCAATAAACATTAAAAAAATTATCTAGCACTGGTCAACACCAGGATAATACTGGCAAAAGCTTATAAAGTTCCTAAAATAACTATTGGTGAACTTAGCACGAAAAATTGATTTATATTAGTTAATCTTGACTTTTGTTTCCTAAATTTAGAAGAGGGGGTGGTTATCCTGAGGGTTTTTTGAGAGGAAAGACTTCTAAAACAGTACATGTACGCCTTTATGTCTGTGTCCAAATGAGTGTGGTATATAAATAATGTTTGTCATTTACTTGAGCAACAAAATGAGAACTTGAAAACCACCACAGTTGTTGATTTCATCAAGGTTTGATTTTTAGCATTAATTTTTTTCTTAATCTACAAATGGATATAGCATTCCATTTTTTAAACTACAATTTCATTTGATTTATCCAACTCTCTCATCTAATTCTCAATATTAACCTTTCAGGCACAGAGTCTTCTAGGGCTAACTCATCAGTTTAAAGTGTTTTGTGTAGTTTCTCTTCTTATTTTTCAGAGTTCTCCTTTTTCAGGTTACTCTGGATGAAACCTTTTTCTCCTTCACTTTTTTACTACTGTTTCTTGTTTCAGATGAAGAGGAAACCACCCTGCCTAGTGCCTTACCACCAGGTTAGGACAATTCCAACCCCTTTCTTACTTTTTAAATATATTATTAATTGACAGTAAAGGAAAAGAAAAGTCAGGTCACCTGGCTGAGCCAGTGAGCAGAGCAGAGGCACTGGGTTTTGCCTGTGCCAGAACCAAGAGGAAAAGGTTGGCTTCAATGACAAAATTTTATTTTACATGAGACACCTAGAACAAGGAGGCTTCGTCTGTGAAATAAATAAGATTGGTAAATCTTGAGCATGAGTTTTGGGGGCAAAAATTGTTTGTGTTCCATTTCCAGCTATATATCCTTTTTCCCTGTGCTATAAATTTAAATATTTAGATTTTTTTCTTTATTATTGTTTTAATAAGACTCACTTTACAACTGTTTTCATAGAGGAAGCTCCACTGATTTACCATCTGAGCCAACTTCTGGTTTTTTCCTCCCTATTACCAGAAGAGACAGGGTTTTGGGTATCCAAGAACGTTGAAGCCAGCGCCCCATCTTCACCCTACCTTGCATCAATCAAAAAAAATCACACTTTCCTTTCAGGTGTGGGTAGTCGGGCCCTGGAGAGAAAAGATTCAGGTGAGCACACTCCTGGAGCAAGGCATCCCAACCCCCATCTTAATACAACCACTAATGGCCTCATTTCTTGAAACTGTATTTATTCTAATTCTTGTTTTATTCAGTTTGTAGCTTTCATAGCAATCTTTCATTATATTTTCACTTACCAGAAAACTAATGTACTGAGAAATCATTAATTTTGCATGATACACACATACACAAAAATTTCAGGAATCTGTCCTCATATAGATCTAGGGATCTAGCCTCACATAGCCTCATTTTTTAAGAAAACATTTTAAGCCTCGAGTTGCAATAATGAAAGATTCTATGAGCAAAATATTGAACAATGTAGGAAGCATCAAAATAAGATGGAAGGAATACACAAAGTTACTATACCAAAGAGAATTGGTCAATGTTCAACCATTTCAGGAGGTAGCACATGATCAATAACCGATGGTACTGAGGGAAAAGGTCCAAGCTGCACTGAAGGCATTGGCAAAAAACAAGGCTCCAGGAACTGATGGAATACATGTTGAGATGTTTGTTTCAATAAATGGATGCTATGCTGAAGGTGTTCGCTCATCTATGCCAAGAAATTTGGAAGACAGCTACCTAGCCAACCCACCGGAAGAGATCCACATACATACCTATTCCAAAGAAAAGTGATCCAGTGGAATGCAGATATTATCGAACAATATCATTAATATTATATGCAAGTAAAATTACTGTGAAGATAATTAAAAAAAAGATTGCAGCAATATACTGACAGAGAACTGCCAGAAATTCAAGCCAGATACAGAAAAGGACGTTGAACAAAGGATATCATGGCTGATGTCAGATGGATCTTGGCTGAAAGCAGAAAATACCAGAAGGATGTTTACCTGTGTTTTACTGACTATGCAAATGCATTCAACTGTGTGGACCGTAACAAATTATCGATAACACTGTGAAGAATGGAATTCCAGAAAACTTAATTGTACTCATGAGGAACCTGTATGTAGGCCGAGAGGCAGTTGTTCAAAAAGAACACGGGGATACCACATGGTTTGAAATCAGGAAAGGTCCCTGTCAGGGTTGTATCCTTTTGCCATACTTATTCAATCTGTATGCTGAGCAAATAATCTGAAAAGTTGGTTTATATGAAGAAGAACATGGCTTTAGGATTGGAGGAAGACTAACAACCTGCCATATGCAGATGACACAGCCTCGCTTGCTGAAAGTGAAAGAGGACTTGAAGCACATACTGTTGAAGATCAAAGACTACAGCCTTCAGTATGAATTATACCTTAACATAAAGAAAACAAAAATCCTCACAACTAGACCAATAAGCAATATCATGAGAAATGGAGAAAATATTGAAGTTGTCAAGGATTTCATTTTACTTGGATCCACAATTAACGCCCAGGGAAGCAGCAGTCAAGAAATCAAACAACATATTGCATTGGGCGAATCTGCTACAAAGACCTCTTTAAAGTGTTAAAAAGCAAAGATGTTACCTTGAGGACTAAGGTGAGCCTGATCCAAGCCATGGTGTTTTCAATCGCCTCATATGCATGCGAAAGCTGGACAATGAATAAGGAAGCCCGAAGAAGAATTGATGCCTGTGAATTATGGTGCTGGCAAAGAATATCGAATATACCACAGACTGCCAGAAGAACAAATCTGTCTTGGAGGCAGTACCGCCAGAATGCTCCTTAGAGGCAAGGATGGCAAGGCTTCATCTCACATACTTTGGACATGTTATCAGAAGGGACCAGGCCCTGAAGAAGGACATCATGCTTAGTAAGGTAGAGGGTCAGTGAAAAAGAGGAAGACCCTCAACAAGACGGACTGACAAAGTGGCTGCAACAAGGGGCTCAAACATAGCAACGACTGTAAGAATGGCACAGGACTGGGCAGTGTTTCGTTCTGTTATACATAAGGTTGCTATGAGTCAGAATCGACTCGACAGCACCTAACAACAACAACAACATCCTCATATAGAGGTTAATGGTTGTTCAGTAGTAGAATTCTCACTGCCTTGCTGGAGATCCGGGTTCAATGCGCGGCCAATGCACCTCAAGTGCAGCCACCAATCATCTGTCAGTAGGAGGCCTGTGTTGCTGTGATACTAAACAGGTTTCAGCAGAGCTTTTAGATTACTACAGAGTAGGAAAAAAGGCCTGGTGATCTACTTTTGAAAATCAACCACTGAAAACCTTATGGATGGGGTCCCCCTGAGTCAGGGGCAACTTGATGGCAGCTAACAACAATATACCTTATTACCACAGACTTGTTTGTTTTTTATCAGTATAACTCTCACTTTTAACATTTAGCAAATATACAGAGATCAAGAAACATTTAAAATCTCCATTCCTGGAATGTACTGAAGTTAGATAACAATTCACAATGTTTTAGTAACATAACACTTGACAAAACAATTTCAAATACATCCTGTCAGCTGTAGCTACAATTCTGTGAAGCTATTCATTCATTCATTCATTCAACAAATATGTGCTCTGATCATACTAGGGGCCTTTTATGGACCAAGCATAGGTAAAGAAGTGAACAAAACAATAAAAATTCCTTCTTCACGTTCCAAAGTTGAGTGACCACTATTACTATTAATATCATAGACACACACAACATAAATACTAACATTAACTCAGGTATTAAAAAAATTGTGTAATCATGTGACTAGGCTGCATAACTTCATTGTGAAAACAATGGTCTCTTGTCGGTAGAAATTCAAAGCATGATTGAGACTTGAAGACTAAAATAATTAAATGTTCATTTTTCTTCTAGCCAAGAAACATTAACCAGAGTTCGCGACCCTCGCATTTTTTTCCAGCTATTTAATTGCTGACACTAAACTTCTCTTCATTCAACTCTTGGAGACAAAGGGAATATTAACAGTTCTCTCTCCTACCCTCCTCAGTGGAGTTTCCTGCCGATTAAAACCAGCCAAGCACCTGGAGTATAAACTAGAAAACAGCAAAATAAACTTCATTTCCAGCTTCTCTCTCTTCATGGGAAAACCTCAATTTATTTTTCATTTCTTTTGTTTGTTCATTTGTTTTTTTTTTTTTTTCCCCTTTCAGGAAACTCCCAGTATTCTTGAAATTTGTAGCTGCAGGTCATTATCTGTGACTTATTTGTCAAACTATGGCCACATCTATCCAACCATAACAGAACTGTCTAACCATATGGCAGCAAGGAGTCAAGAAATACCAGGCCAGACTCGCTATTTCCAGACTGAACAATCAAACTGACCCACCCTTTTAGTCTTTTCCAATTTTGTTGTTGTGTAGACGTGGCCTTATAGTCACATCCGGAAAACAGATGTGAAAGCCTGGAAAACCTGGAAAAGCACTCTGAGAACTCAGCTCTAACTTACTGACCACCATTATTTGTCTGCTAGGGGACAGGCAGGATGGGGAAACCAGCAAAGGAAACAGTGCTGTCAATAAAGGCAGAGAAACACCTTACCTGAAAAGTTTCACTGTTTCTAGGAACTAGAAAGCATTATTTACCCCGCCATGAAAGAGACATCCCTGTAAGAATGGGATTCTGTCACTCTCTACTGATGGCTGGGGGGGGGTGGAGCGGGGACGGAAAGAATGATGTTATATTTATCTAGTTTTATTAGACAAACAAAAGCTTCAGTGTTGACGAGAACTCCAAACCCAGGTAAGTCTGCCTAGGAAGAAAAACCAAAAATTCATTGCCATCAAGTCAATTCCAACTCAGAGTGACCCCACAGGACAGAGTAGAACTGCCCAACAGAGTTTCCAAGGAGCACCTGGTGGATTTGAACTGTTGACCCTTTGGTTAGCAGCTGTAGCATTTAACCACTACGCCTAGGAAGAAAGCGGCCCTGAAATGACCCATTTCCTCCTTTCTGTCGTTAGAATGGTCTATAGGGGAATCGCCTGCCAGTGAGGAACAAGACAAGCAGAATGTCAATTCTCAGTTGTCCACCCTGTTCGTTGAAAAACCTCAAACAGGATCGGTGAAAGTTGGTGAGTCCTAGCATTCAATCCTGCCTTCAATTTAAAACCTAAATTCACATCACAGAAAATGAACTCTTTTAAAGTGAACAATTCAATGGCCTTTGGTACATTCCCAATATTGTGCAACCATCACCTCTATCTAAGTCCAAAACATTTTTATCACCCTAAAAGGAAACCCCATACCTATTAGCAGTCACTCCCCATTCCTCTTTACCCTCCAGCCTCTGGCAACCACAAATCTGCTTTCTGTCTCCATGGATTTACCTAACCTGGATATTTCAGATAAATGGAATCATACACTATGTGTTCTTTTTGTGTCTGGCTACTTTGACTTAGCACAATGTTTTTGAGGTTCATCCATATTGTAGTATGTATCAGTACTTCATTCCTTTTTATGGCTGAATAATATTCCATTGTGTAGATATACTAAATCCTGCTTTTTATAACCCTAAAAGGAGAGCAGCAGCTATCATTTCAAGAGCCTTTAGCACACCTAGGCAGCACAGATTAGTAGTTGAGTACCTGGATCCTGCAGCCAAGCAGCCTGAGTTCAAATCTTGGTTCTGTTTCTTACTAGCTATTGTCCTCAGGTAAATGGCTTAACCCCTCTATATTTCAGTATCCCCATCTGTAAAGTGGAGATAATGATAGGCTCAACCTGTGAAGGACCTTGAACAGTGCCTGGCATGTAATAAAGCTCGGAGCTAGCATTTGCTGTCATTACGACACACCTCACTGCTTAAGATGATGACAGATCTGCACACACACTAGATCATAATGCTTAGTAGCTCAGAGGTAGCTAGTCAGAGAGATGGCTCAACTTTTGAGATATTACTCAAACAATAGTGATTACACATCTCCTAAGTTTCGGGCACTGTGCTGAACCAAGTATAGTGTGTGAGCACTCAGAACTTACACCCAATGGGAAGAGCAGACAATACAAATTAAACGAACAAATAAGGGTAAAAGCCATATGTTATAAAGGAAATAAACAGGGTGGTGAGATAGAGAGGGGCCTGGAGAGGAAAGGATGTGGATGGAGAGCACAGACATGGGGGGCTCACAACAGGGACAGGCACAAAGGTCCTAAGTGGAGGGGTGCCCAGGAATTTTCATTAAATTTTTATAGGAATATATAGGCAGTCCCCGATTTATGGCGTACTCAAGTAACAACAAACTGCACGTACAACCATCCAGTTTTGAGTTATTTTTGTGTATCTCATCATTAATAATATGTTGCAGCACATAATTTGCTGATGTTATCATTCTCAGATGTTAACTCGCAGATGTTCAATTTTATGATTTACTGTTGGATTTATAAAGATATTGATAATAAAAGGTGATAATAGTGAAAACTAAAAAAAAAAAAAAAAAATGAGGTATTTGACCTGTGTCAGAACTGACTATGACAGAGTCGTTAGAAAGGAACCCCGTCATAAGTTGGGGACTACCTGCATTGTGATCAGATCTAGCCTGTGACATTTACCAAATAGTATACCAATGAGCACACACAGCTGAATATGTTGTAGAATTTTTTCTTTCAGGGCTGGAGATGTTTGCTACCCTGTGTTCCTGGAAGACACTGAAATGCTGGGCTGGCAGCGGGGCTAGGGTTTGGATGTCCCCAGTGCCTAATGAGTCAATACAAAGAGATAGGCAGGGCTACTTGCAAACTGAGCAGTTTCAATTAGGCCTATTCCTATAATTCCAGCCTACCCATCACCATGCCTAATAAAAAGGATGGAAAAAGATTCATATACATTTCATTTTCTTCACTTTATTTCACATATAAATATATATACATTATATGTAACCAAAAAAAAAAAAAAAATCCAAATCCATTGCTGTCAAGTTGATTCCAACTCATAGCGACCCTAAAGGACAGAGTAGAACTGCCCCATAGGGTTTCGAAGGAGTGCCTGGTGAATTCGAACTGCCGACATTTTGGTTCATAGCCAAACTCTTTAACCACTACGCCGCCAGGATTTCCACATTATATACAGCACATATATATAAGGAGTCCCTGGGTGGCACAAACGGTTAAGTGCTTGGCTACTAACTGAAAAATCTACCCAGAGGTGCCTCAGGAGAAAGGTCTGGCAATGTACTTCCAAAAGGTCACAGCCACTGAAAACCCTATGTGCAGTTCTACTCTGAAACACTTGGGGTCACCATGAGTCAGAACTGATGGAAATGGTTTCTTTTTTAAATATATATATATAATACATATATTTTAATACAAACATAAAAATTATGTCCATTGATCTCCCATTGCTCTTTTTCTGCTTCATAAACCTCAAAAGCAGAACAGGTTGGGTTATCCTAAGAACCTCTAGAGTACTCATAAAAAATCAGGGTCATTTCACAGCACTACTCCAAGGGGCACCAATCATATCACAGTCCATACAGGGCTGTCCTGCATAATTTCTTTCCAGGTAAGAGCAAAACGAACTACAAGTTTTAAACCAGTCTGAATCACTTGTGCTTTTTCTAGGTGAAAATATTACCTTTATAGCCAGAGTCAAGGCTGAAGATCTTCTTAGAAAACCCACTATCAAATGGTTCAAAGGGAAATGGATGGACCTGGCCAGCAAAGCTGGGAAGCACCTCCAGCTGAAGGAAACTTTTGAAAGGCAAACTCGGGTATGGTCTCTGAGTTCCCAACACAGGGGCTCAGCTAGCTCATTCTCTCTGTGTGGGTATAAAGGTCATTTTCAGGTCCAGTTTTGAGAGATTCGAGTCCCAAAAAATTCTCTGGTGTCACCATTCCTAGTCTCTACACTCTTATGTGGTCACGCTGCTGTGTCTGGTAGCTCTCCTTCCTATACTGAGAAGGTTGTACTGACATCCCCAGATAGACACATCTTTAAGCCAATGCAGAGGAATTTGAAAAAAATAACTGCAATGGGATGGTGGTGCAGTGGTTAAGAGCTCGGCTGCTAACCCGAAGGTCGGCAGTTCGAATCCACCAGCCGCTCCTTGGAAACCCTATGGGGCAGTTCTAGTCTGTCCTATAGGGTCGCTAGGAGTCGCAACTGACTTGACGGTCAACGGGTTTTTCTGGCCTCTTTCAGTGTGCAAGGTAGGTGTGAAATGTGCATGGGTGCATTTCATTGCAGATATACACATTTGAGATGCAAATCATTAAGGCGAAAGAGAACTTTGCAGGAAACTACAGATGCGAGGTCACCTATAAGGATAAGTTTGACAGCTGTACTTTCGATCTTGAAGTGCATGGTAAGAGTGCCTTTTTTGTCTCTTTCTATGTGACTTTTTATGGGCTGAGAGAAGATGGAGAAGAAGGTCATCTAAAACCATGAGACTTTTTTTTTGGTGGGCGGAGACCTTTTAAAATTATGTGTTTCTGATTGTGGTAGTCTCAGCAAGCCAGCTGAATTAAATTGTCACGGGACAATTTAAAAATAAAACTGTGGAATTTTACTGGTAAGTATCTCTTTTCAATGCTATTTATATTCCTTCAGTCTCCCAGGTAAGCAGTAACGTCATTTTATTGTTGCTACTGAATGTATCTGTTTCACTGGGTCCACGTATTCCCACTCAGGTTGGGGGATAAGGTAATATGGGATGAAGATGTCAGGATACCCAAGTGGAAGGCAGAATTTCCCTTATGAGGACTAATGTCAGATGTGGACGTTCTCCATCCATATGATCTATATACTTCCCAGAGTGTGTTTAATAGGGATAAATACAATAAGGCGCATTTAGCTTGAAAGAAAAAAAAACTTTTATAAGAATACAAAAGGGAAAGTTGACTTCGAAGTAAAGATCATAAATTTAAGAAGAATCCCAAGTGTGTTATAACTGCAAAAAACAAAGCTAGTGTAATTTTAAACTGGACTACTACAAGTGGCACAGAATCTAGATAGAGGAAATGATACTACTTTCTACAACACACTACTTGTTCCACATTTGGGGTGATGTCTTTGGTTGTGGGCACCATAGCTCAGCCTGGAGTTGGGTAACCAGAAGGATGAAGAGTCCAGAAACCATGTCCTATGCAGCTTGAATGTGTGGGTAGAAGGAAAAGGCCCTTTTCCATGTACTCTAGAAGTGTTTAGAGTACATCAGAATCAAAGGGTGGAAATTTATGAGAAAGCAAATTTTGTCTTAGCATTAGGAAGAACTCTTTCATTAAGGCTATGTAGACAACCTGGGAAGGATGGAGATCCCCCATACTAGAGATGCCACGCAAAGGCTGGATGATCATGGGTCAGGGTGCTGTCAAGATTTCTGCATTCAGTGGAATCTGGCCTTGAGCAGCTCTTTCAACCTGGCTGGGCATCTCTGAAAATCACCTGGAGGACTCTTAAGAATACTGATTTCTGGGTGACTCAAAATGTCCAACAGGGAGAATAAGGAAGCTGAATTATTTTTTAAGTTCCTCGGGTGATTCTAATCGGCAGGTAGGTTGGACAACACCTAGGCAAGGTGACCCCTAAGGTCTCTTATTGATTTTGTGTGAGACTGAGGTTATGATGATGCCTCAGCAGCTCAGCCATCCAGGAGGAAAGCCACCTCCCCCCTTCAACTGGCATCCTTCCATCTGAGGAATCCCCACAGTCTATGAACTGAACACAAAGCTGTCTTCTTAACAGGTATTTATTTTATTGTTTTCTTTCCTTTAAAAGAATCTACTGGGACAACTCCAAACATTGACATCAGATCTGCTTTCAAGAGAAGGTAACTTCAAAACGGGCAACTAGGTAGTTTTTGTATAACAGGGTAGTGGAGGATTTTCAAAACACATTTTCCCTTCCTCCACACTCCAAATTCCAAATAATGGCACTCTACACTGTAGTCGAACAAACCATCTGTCCAAAAGTTGGTATGGCTAGAAAAGCCATATGTTTAATGCCAAATCAAGGATATAGTGAATGATCATTTTTTATGATTATTCTTGCTATAGCGAAGCGCTTATTTCTGAAGGTTTCACACTGCCTTATAAAGATGTACTCTGAGTCTCATATGTGACTTTCCGCTTAATTACATATTGTCTGCCTAATGACCAAAAAAGATAAAAAGACACATTTTATATGGCATCAGTTAAGTAAAGTCAGAAAACTTTTATTTGTATTGCTTTTCATCGAGAAATCCCTTATGGAGCTATTAAATCTTGCGTCCAGAAAAATAATAATTAAGTTGCTACTTATGGAAGTTAGCACCATTTAAACAGTGGATTATTCTAAATGAAAGACCACTGAGTTGGCCTGAATAAAGAACATTGTAGAAAGGCAAGATATAGATGCCTAACTGATTTATTTTGCAACTGTTAAGGCTGAACAATCAGGGGTTGAAGAAGAAAAACAAAAATTTCTTCTGGTTTATAAGAAATGTAACTAGCCCCCAACTGCCATTATTTTACTCTCTGTACTTAATTCTTCCATGATATCAATTATTTAATGAAAGCAATGGTTTTATTCTTTTGAAGACTGAATCCACATTGGGTTTTGTTGAATAAGGAAAATCATCTTAAATTAAAACAACGATTCAGTCAATAAAAGGCACATTTCCCCCTAAAAATTGTGAATAAATCAAAATCTTAATTATTCTTAAAAGATATCTAATATTGCCTCAGCAGTCAATTGATTTTGAAATTATTTTCTAATTATTTTTAATTTTAAAAAGGGTCGTAAATTTCAAATCCTATTACTTTCGTTCCACCTTTTCTTCACCCCACACTCAGAAAATGCCTGGGTCTAAAGCTATGCTCACACCATGTACAAGTATACTTTAGGAGCGGGAGATGTGTGTTTAATTCAAAACGCCTCTCCAAATACCTGCTATTAAAGACATTCTGAAAACATGATTTGAGTTCAATTCTTATAACTTATGTGTTATACACACTTTTTTAATCCACAGACTCTTTTCTTAGGAACCATACTAACACTTGTAAGAGCAGGAAACAAAATCTTCATTAAAAAAAATTAAACATATAAGTAAATACACAGTGTCATTTAAATGTCAGCTCCACAGCTTCCGTTTAGAGTTGATATGAAATCACGAACGTGGCTGCACACCTAGTTTAAGATGCATTTCTCCATAGGAAAGAAAGCACTTTTTAAAACCACTAGTAAAGGGTTTATTAACAATTCAAAGTTTTAAAAGGTATAAATATTAATAAGAATATTAAAAGATTATAATTATTTCCCTTTAAAACAGAAAGGAATGCATCTTTTAAAAAGCTCCGTGCTAGCTCCATTTTTGTTATGTTGGTATCACTATTATCTGATTCATCTATTCTTGGATACAAAGAGGCTACCTTTCGAATATAAGGCTTTGTACTTATATATTTGACATTGGTACACTTTGTCCTATAAGGCAGAACCAAGCAAATCTCTGTCTTGCCTGAGTAACAGAGATCAGCAAAAGTCCTTTGCTTTTTACACAGGGATGTTTCTGGAGCCCGCAACTTGCAAAAACAAAGTACTTTGTGTTGCTTGCCTTAAGTGCATTTGTGTTACTCGGTTTTAACACAAATCCAAGCAGTTTTCTATATGCCATCTACAAAAAAAAAAAAACGCATCTTCTGAAGTCGGAGAGTAACACATGCTCCTCCTGTTTACTTTTCCACAAGTACATGCTCCAGAAACTTCAAATGTCACTTGTGTGAAAAGAAATCATTTGTGTTGATTTAGTGCCATGACTTGTGTGCTGGTACAAAACTGCATATGCGTTATATATGTAGTGTTTGGGGGAAATTGTTATGTATGTGTCTCAGCATTAAACCCCGATTTGCTTTTCTTTTGTTAATGACAGTGGTGACGGTCAAGACGATGCAGGAGAACTTGACTTTAGTGGTCTCCTGAAACGTAGGTGAGAACCCAGTGATGGACTGAGGCGCTGTGGCCTGGACATCTTTTAGATACCCACTCAGAGAAGCCAAGTTTAAAGCAGATGTCTTTCACATTTCTTAAAATGTGTTTTGCTTATAGAATGTAGCTGAGTCGACTAAGAAAGAGACAGCGAAACAACTGCATACTAATCTGTGTTAAAGATTTTAGCCAGTGCTTTTAAACTTTCTTTTTTAAATGTCTGATGAGTCTTCACATGTTTTCTTAGTTGGGGATGGCGAAGATTTGAAAACTGAGACGATACATACACCTAGAAATGTCTAAGGCTTTACACGATTCCTTCTTAAAAAACCAAAAAACCCCACTGCTGTCACATCAATTCCAACTAGGGTTTCCAAAGAGCACCTGGTGGATTTGAACTACTGCCGTTTTGGTTAGCAGCCGAACTCTTAACCACTATGCCACCAGGGTTTCCAATTCTTTCTTAGGGTTGAATAAATAAAGGCTCCATTCTCCTGCCTTTGATACATGTATCTGACTGAAAAATCAGTATCACAACTTTGGTAGAAGTAACCACAGGTGTGTGTGTATGTATATACACATATAATTTTTAAAGTAGGACTAATATAGTATTTTTACTTACTGTATTTCATCAAATCTAAGACACCATTGATTTTAAAATATATTAGTATTTTATAAACCACTAAGCAATGAAAAATTGCTCCAAATGGTTTACTATGACACACTACATAAGATACATCCTTATTTCAGAAATGTGAAAAATGTCCCAAAAATGTACATTTTACAAGCAATAAAATATGGTAGTAAAATGGAAATAAATATTTAGTGTTATCACGCCCCTCTGACATTATTCTCTTGCAATACAATTTAAAGACTTTCATTATGGATATTTAGTACATCAACCATTTTATAGGATTTTGTCCATATATATAATTATGTAATGTACTATATATGTGTTATATATAAAGTTATACATATCTATTTATTATAGTGCAACAAAGAAATCGATTTTTTGCTGGGATTGTATTTTACCTAGCAAATTTGTGAATAAACAAAGTAAAACTATAATTCTAAATTAATAATGTTTAATATTGATATCGGTTTTCAACTTTTTGAGCACACTTTTTCTTACTTTTAGTGCTTTCTATGGTTGTTAAAGGAACATAAGTATAAAAATGCCTCTGAACAAATAATACTTACAATAAACTGGGCTTATTTATTCTTATCATCTGCAGTTTAGCTGAACAGCTTTATGTAAGTCCCTGTGAATGAAAAAAATCACTCTAAGCTCTAAACATTTAGGTTGAGAAAAGAAATATTAATAGATGCAAATTATTACTTACTGATAGATATTAGCCAATTGATAGACTTTGGCCATGTCAACTCTATCGTTTCTCCTTTGGATACGTCAAACTAATCACTAGCTTCTATAATATTTATTAATTCCCCAAATTTGTTTAAAAGAATAGTATATGAAGCAACCTTAGATAAGCCTTACTCCTCCTCATTTTACAGATGAGAAGCCAAGGTCCAGAGACACTGAGCGACTTACCTCAAATCATACAGCTAGTTAAGAGGCAGAGCAGGGATCCAAATCCATGTTTCCCTTTTCTAAACTGGCTCATGTCCTGTGACTCCATACAAGAACCACCACTCTGAATCTGTCCCAGAAGTTGCTGCTTCAGTTTATAACACAAATTGACATTTAGAAAGAGAGCTTTTTTTTTCTGCATTCATTCATTCAACCAGGAAAATACTAAATGCATTTCTGTGTACAATGTAACACCAGGTGATATAAGGAAATGAAATCCAGTGCCTACCAGAGCCCAGCACAGAGAAAGGCATTAATCCATATTTGCGGAAGAGAAAAGGTAGTGGTAAGAACATGAGTGTCAACTCTACCATTTACTAATTATGTGACTTTGGTCAAAGTGTATGTCCCCTCTGAGACTTGGTATGCACATCTGTAGATGGAGTGAATAAAAATCATAGAGTTATTTTGAAAATTAAATTAACTGTAAAGGGTCTGGCTTACAATAGGTATCAAACAAATATTCACCTCCACTTCCATCATGGACATGCTGGGTTTTCCCTAAAAGAGCTTATATTCTCAGAAACAAAACACACACGCAAAATTAAAAAAAAAAAAAAAGTGACACAGTAGATAACTGTTATGCTCTGATTAGAAAGGAAAAAGAAAAAAAAAAAAGAACAAAATGGTTCTACCAGTTATTTGCAGAGTAAAAGAAATCTAATTACACGGGCAAAACGACTGAAGAAAAAAAAATCGTTAGAAAAAATGGGCAGCCAACATGTCTCCAGTTTTCATTTTCTTTACATCCTCTAACTTTGGTTTTGATTCATATTTAGATTGTTTGTTGTTAATATCACTATATTTATTTAATATATGGTACTAATCCACTAGCATAATTTTAGAAACCATTGTGTTTTCCTACTAGTTTGCAAATTGCATGTGTTTTCACTGTGGTAATGACATGTAGTTACCATTTCTACTCCTCCAAGAGTGAGTGGCAAAATCCTCATCAGAATAAATATCATTATTACCAACATCTCTACACAACAAAAGATCTTCCTGCCCTGAACGAACCCAGCTTATTTCAAATAGACATTTGTGAAATTAGAGTAACTCTTTTGGGTGGCACCTTGTTATAGACTTTGACCTATATAAATACCTGAAAGTTTTATTCTACATAAAATTTCTATAACAGCTTTGTATTTCACTGAGATCATGAAGTTATAGAAATTTTGATGTAGATGAAAGTACTGTTGGCATTATATAGGTCTATCCCAATGCCTGGAAAGGAACTGGAAGCACCTATAGGCATCTGGATTTTTCTCTTCACTGTACCTTAACATTGCCATGCAGATAGGGTCATGTGTAGCCACCATGGTAAGAAAAGACATATTCCAGATGATTTAAGGAAATGCTACAGGTGAGAGATTTGACCTCACATTCCAGTACAAAATGATGATTGCTTCCCCTTGCAGTCTGGGATTCAACTAAATGACGGAGGGAGAAGGAAGGTATAAGCAAGAGGTCATTGGTGATCTTACATGTATTTGATAAGACTAGAACATGATAGAATGGAGTATATTTGGCATTTTAATGAAAAAATGGTGAGGATGATAGGTTTTATAAATCTACCAGCCAAATTGACTTAAGAAATCATACTGAAAATGATGGTCGTTATTACTGGCTTCCTTCATAGAAATGTTCACCTGGTGGTACTAGATATGTCTCACCTAGTGGAATTAGATAGTAAAAGAATGTTTTCAATTTGCCTCTCATTAGCTATTTTAATTATATGTGGTTTGATATCTTTAAATCCTTTTACCACCAGTGTCTGGAAGGTACTAGAAATGTATATGTGTGTAATTCTTCTGGGTGGACATGCATATTTAACACAATCTAGTATGGATAATTTTAGTTTGGGGACTACACTTAGGCTGGAATATGACAAAAAAAATACAGCATCAATAAAAATGTCAGAGGAGCTAGTAGTCATTTTTAGAGGCTGCTGCTGCTGCTGCTGACATTTTCAGGTTGAAGAAACACAGAGAAATATATACATACGTACATACATACACATTTTAATTGCAATTTGCCAAGACTTCCTACTAAAATATATAAAGAATATATTTGAAAATTAGACTGCTTTCAGGTAGTAGATGTAGAGGATGTGGCAAATTATTACCAAAATGCAAACTTCAGGACAACCTTCTTACACTTTCTAATTTCTCCACATCAACTTAGCAAGTGTAGTACATCTCAGTGAGATGAAGATAATGCCTGAGTCAGTTTTTAAGAGGCACATTTTCCTACTGGTGTTGCCTAGGTCTTCCCATCAAGGGTACTGATGGACCAGTGACCTCTCACTTCCTTCCATTTTCCAGGAGATTTGTCCCCAATTGGGCACAAAGACTTACCTGACAATGTAAAATGGAAATTAGATCTGTAGAAGTCATCCTTGCCTACCACCACCCCAAACTCCATATTATTATTTATATCTTCTCCCTGCCACATACCTTATCCAGGATTACAATCCAGTATTTCTTCCCTCTCAAAGTGCATGAGTATAAAGAAGAAACTCTGAAACGGGTGTAATTAATGTGTCAGTGAGAATATATGCGCCCCGTTGTTCCCTAATGCGATAGCATGAATCCTTTTTCACACTGAGGTATTAGATGTTTTGACCAGTTTTCCTGAAGAATCGTATCTACACTAGCATTATTCACAGTAAGCAGTCACTGTAACACTTCCAAATTAACCGGATAAAAATATTCAACAAAGTTTAAATAAAACCAGGAAAATTTAGCCAGCCAAGGAAATCAATTTAAATTATATTGTTTATTTACACTAAGCCTCTTTCCTTAAAAAGTGTTTGTTCCTGAGTTTCGGTTACATTTGTGGTTTTAAAACACGGGCAGACAAGTGAAGTCTAAGCCTTAGAGTCATATACTATCTTTAGTTAGTAATCAAAATTTGGGGTCATAATTTTGATCCTTAATACCCATTGCTAATGACACTAAGTTACTTTTCCCCTTTGTTCATGGAATCCTAAACCATATGCTTTACAGTTTAACACTGATTTATGATTCAACCTCAACCTACTCCCAAAAACATTCAAGACAGTACTTTAACATGAAATATGAGAGAATTTTTGGCGTCATTCTCCTTTTCCCATCATAAATTTAGAAAAAATTTCTTTTAAAAAGCATATCTGTATCCACAAAAACTTATGAATAAAACCTTCATAGCAATTTCATGTTTTTTGTATAAGACGCAGCAAAAGTGGTTAATGTACCTATTCACTAATATGGTAGGAAAATGCTATTTGCAAAATCCAAAGGTTTGAAATATTAGATTTGTAATATCTCCACACACAGCTATGGTGTGTATATCAAGAAGGTAGAAAGAGATCATTTTTCCCCACAGGCCAATATTTAAATCTTCTAGTTCTTAATCCACTTTTCAAAATGAACTCAATATCCATATTCTAGATTAAATCTGTTAAATTTCTCAAAATATCACCTTCTGATTTAAAATGAAATATAAAATAATTTATATTATACTTATATTTATTATTATATAATAATATATATTATTATTATATATTTATATTTATCTTATATTACAATAATATTTTCCTGACATCCTTCTCTCTCCCACCCCCGCAAAAAAAAATTGTGTTTTTAACTAGGAAAACAAAAGTGTTACTATAAGGGCACATGTTTGGTTTTTTACCTTGGAAGTTTCCCTAAAACTTCAAACAAAGCTAGTAGACTGACTTCTCAGCTGTAAGTATTCAGGCCTCAGGCAAAGCTTTTAACACTAAAGTGAAAAATGGGTACCGTACCCTCATCGTCCCTATTTTAAGGACCAGTGCAGTTTCTAAACCAGGGAATGCTTCGTCCCGGGTTAGGGAGGTGAAACAGCAAGAGGAAGAACCCGAGGTCGACGTGTGGGAACTGCTGAAGAACGCGAATCCCAATGAGTACGAGAAGATCGCCTTCCAGTACGGCATCACCGACTTGCGTGGCATGCTCAGGCGACTCAAGCGCATGCGCAGGGAGGAGAAGAAGAGCGCAGGTGAGCCCGCCCAGGGAAACCGTTCAGGGGCGTGGCAGCGGGCGCCGCGTCCTTTGCGGTCAAAAGAGATGACCCGCTACGCCACGTAGCGTTCCTTCCAATCTCTCACGGGGTTTGGGGTGGGGCTCAATGGGAGTGTGGGAGTTACCTTCGATTTACTGAAGGTTTACGACTACAGTTTACGTTACAGAACCACGCACACCGTATAATGAAATATTAAACATTACCCTTGCCACTGGGAATTTCTCAGTGGCTCCCTTTTCCAGGCTCCGTGGACATCTCCCTTGCTCGCGAATTCTTGACTTTTATTTAGGCTGAGTAGATTCCAAGTCTCTTTGTTTACCGTCATATTCTTCCACTCTTTTGATGGGGCTGGGGATTCACTTCTCACACCCAATACTGTTACCAAAGTGTTTTGTCAAACAGCTGTGCTGCTCCTTGGGGATCTAAAGTGAATGCAGTTGGTTGTGGTTTTAAATATCTTTTTTTAAAAAAATAGGTTAAGATGTTGACATTTAAAGTGAAAAAAATACCGAATACATTTAAAATTTATTCTTAGTTCTTCAGTTTCCTATACTCAATAATTATGACCAGTTATTGGTTTGTGACACATCAGGAAAATACATCAATCCTATTGTTTGTTTATTGTTTTGTTAATGTTCAAATAGAATATAAAGAATCTCACCACCTCTTCTTAAAAATCTGCCCTTTATTTCTAAAGCTCCCTGTAAACTGGTTGAGAAATGGCCCCAGAGAGACATAGAAGGGGTTTCTTTTACTTAACTCAGCCATTCCCAATATTTCAGAACTCCCGAAGTTACGTTTTTTAGAGGTGACTGGGACTGCACAGTCAGGAACATTTAAAAACTAAAGTGTAGAGCCCACTGACATCTCTTTTCCCCACACTGGCCTTCTTTATTATCACTTAGCTCTGAACTGACCAATTAAGGAACGTGATAGATAATTTTTTTTTTTAAGTTAGTGTTGATTTTATCTTGTTAAAATTACGTGAAAGTGGACTTTTTAAAGCAATAGTATAATAAAGTTAGAATGATGCATATACAAACGTGACAGCTTTATAAAGCATTCCACACTTTTATGTATTTTCCAAATTGTCTAAATGAGAATTATCTTTAAAATAAGAACCATTATTAAATAAAAAAAAAAAAGTTAACTACTATTACTCAGGACCCTTCAAAGACTATATATATATATATTTCTTTATTGACTGTGTTATTGAAAATGATGTTTGGAAATCCTAAGTTATTAACCAGCCATCTATGTAAGGGGTATTTGAAACATGTCACTATTTGGTCAAGTTTACAAAAAACAAAAACTTTGATAAGCCTACTATTTCAGTTAGTCATTGGCATTCAATTTAATCTTACAAATCAGAGTTTAGTCTCATAAATCTGTGATGAAAAACAGTCTTGTGATATAGAAAAAGTGCAAAAATAATGCCAGTGCTTCTGATAGTAGTTGTGCTAGGAGAATAAGAATGCCCTTAAAATTCAATTTCATTTTAATGTTTTATCGTGTACATTCCCTAAAGAATTAGGGCAATCATTTTTACAGCCTCTTCAACTATTCTTTTCTTATGTTTCTTCCAAAAGCGTGTGGATTCTTTTTAAGTTTTGAAAACCATCTTATTTTATATAAATAGAATTCTAAAATGTAAAGGATAATTTGGGAAATTCCCATTTTTTTCTTCTCTGGGACTCATTTTTTCATTTCTTTTTATGTTCTGGTACATATATTGACTAAATTCAATATATATGAGAACATATACATATTAATATAGATTTTGCTTCCTCTCTCTACCAGCTTTTGCAAAAATTCTTGATCCTGCATATCAGGTTGATAAAGGAGGCAGAGTAAGATTCGCTGTGGAACTGGCAGATCCAAAGTTGGAGGTGAAGTGGTATAAAAATGGCCAAGAAATTCGGCCCTCTGCAAAGTAAGCAGGCTTTACGAATAATCAGCAATGCTAACAGCCACAGAAGTATAAATAAATCAAACAGCAGTTTGACTTCATTTTCTGGAAATAAAGGCAGTTTATAGTTATATCTTTATGATGCAAAATCATGATGGGAGAGTAAAAATTTAAGTTACTTTCCATGTATTTTGGAGTCATTAAAATTATGGTGCTATGTAAAGCAAACCTTGTTTTATGTTTTAATCCTAGGTGTTTTAATGCTATACAAACTATTTCAAGAGATTGCCATCTATGGCTTTGTGTTGCTCTAGGATGTGTATGATTATTTCAGAACATTGCCAAACTTCTCCCAATTTTTTAAAATAAAATTTGAAATTCTTTTGAAATATGTATTTCATATACCAACTGGAAATCACACCTTCTAATTAGATGGCTTTTGTTTTTCCACAATAGCATCTGTATTCAATAACGGCTGAACACCTTCTATGTTCAATTAAGGCACTGTTTTGAGCACTTACTTACAACAGTGCATCTGAATAGACCTACTTAATGTTGAGATCTACTAAAATACGGATCTAAGCCAGTGTTTTATTATTTCTTGGCCATCTCCCAAATGAGGGAGACAAACTAATCCCCAATGTCTGATGCTATCTACTCTATTATGAAACTGCTTTGTAGAGATCCTTCCCAGCCTGAGAGATTTTCAACTGCAGTATATTTTTTTAAGTTAACAGGAGCCACGTGCACATTTATAAAAGACTTTAATCCTGGAAATTCATCACTTCTGGAATATAATCAGATGGTTTCCAATTACTTAATGTGGTCATGCCTACAGGGAAACTTTGTGATCATAATGTTTATATCCAATGAGTATCTCTTGGAGATCATCTGAATTTACCAAAAGCATAATTTTAATTCGTTATCTTTACCTTAAAAACGTTGTTTAATGTTTTGCTCTTGAAGCCATCAATTTGGAAATTTCCCAGAAGAGAATTCCCCCCCGCCCCGGTCTATTATAATGCCCTAGTGTGCTCATCCATAATCCAAGTCACAGATAATTAAATTTTAGAATCTTCTTGCTTCTAGTGTTCTATTTCTAAATACTCAAAAATAGATAACTGTGATATGTTTGCACCAGTTCTTAAACTCATTTAAGAGAACATCACATTCCATAGAACTATATTAGTGATTATGGTCATATTATTGCTTAAGTTATATAATTGTTTATTCACCCAACACAATCTATTGTGTCACGGGGTTAGGCAATGAGTGGAATATGTATCAATGAATAAGACTGAGTCTCTTGCCCCCCTATAAAATAAATGAACAGGTCACTTAAAAAATGTACAGAGTTAAAAATCTCTCTAACACCCTCAGCCCATTCTTTTTTCGAGTCGTGGGTTACGAAAATTAATTAGCAAACACGTGAATATTGACATATTTGAAATAAAAATCTTAGATGTAAAATAATCACAAAAATTAAATAATGTGTGTAATTATACGTATGTATATTATTATTATAAAGATGAAAATTGATTTCATTTTTATGTTAATTAGACTGTGTAAGATATGCCACATAAATGGTATATCAAGATTATATCCCTGACTTTCACGCAGTACTGAATTATAAGCCAAATTTCCTGGCGAGAAAGAAAAGATTAAAATCAAGTTCATGGACTTTTATTTTTCTCCTGTTTAAAACAGATACATCTTTGAACACAAAGGATGTGAAAGAATCATGTTTATCAATAACTGTTCACTGACAGATGATGCAGAATATTATGTGACAGCTGGCGATGAGAAATGTACCACTGAGCTCTTTGTAAGAGGTAAAATGAAATCTCTTATCACAGCGATGGAGAGTGGATTGCTCTTCTTCTCCTAGGGGTAATAATCAAAATGAAAGTGACCAGGTGGAGCACATTGACTCCAGAGCAGGGGTAATTATACCTCTAGAAATGGTTTGGTTTCGGTACTAGATTGCCTCTTCTTTGAATATTCTCTACACTGGCAGATACTATGTACCCTGATAACTCTTAAGGTTTGTTGAAGACTAGAAAAGCAGAGGGGAGAAAAAAATCTGCTGGATAAAAATGCCTTGTGCTTTTGACTCAAGGCAAGAGCTATTTTACAAAATCAATCTTCTAGTTATAGCTTCTGAAATCTGACTGTCTCTACTGGCTAAATCCCATTTCATTCACTCAGCTGATCACAAATAGGTTTTCTCTTGAAACTGGCTTCATTAGTAAAAGGGCATCGTTGGTTGGCACCAAGAACAGCGAAGACCATTATCATTTTGCAAAGAGCTGTACAGTATCAATGAAGTCACATATCATTTATTTTCCTCATGAGTTCCTCTGATTAGAGACAACTCTGAGATCTCTATCACTCATCTACAAAGAGCATCAAAGAGTTTCAGTGTTATAGGTTCTCCTTCATCAGAAATGTCTACCACCTGGCATCTTACTTGCCGAAAGAAGGATATTTGGTACATGTTTTTGTCTGTTCTCTTGAACAATTGTTTATTTAATCTAGGAAGTTCCATGAAAATTGAGATAATTTACCCTGAGTTACCAGCTATTTATTTTGCCAAGGATAGACTTTTTAAAAAAATTTTTACTATAGATGAAGTTTTACAGAACGAACTAGCTTCTCATTAAACAGTTAGTACACATATTGTTTTGTGACATTGTTTACCAACCCCACGACATGTCAACACTCTCCCTTCTAGACCTTGAGTTCCCTGTTACCAGCTTTCCTGTCCCCTCCTGCAGTCTAGGACAGACTTTTAAAAACCCACCTACCATCTACCACCACGGAAACCATGACTGTATGACTGATAATACTTTCCTATGTTGGTTTTTCACCTGTGGACAAATCAGGGCTCGTGAGGCAGGTTTTGGATATTTAGTGATTCTGATTTCCCCCCTTTTTTCTGTCACTAGAGGCTCCAGTTATGGTGACCAAACAGCTGGAAGATAAAAGTACTTTCTGTGGGGAGAGAGTGGAATTAGAATGTGAGGTGTCTGAAGAAGATGCCAATGTAAAATGGTAAATAGCTTTCTTGGAGTCTGTCCATTTTTAATATAGAAAAAAAGTACCTTCCAAGTTCACAGAACAGGAAATACAAATGGCTTTTAAACATACGAAAAGAATGTCAATCTCGTTGCGTTAGTAGAGATGATAACTAAAGCTATAATGAGATACTGTTTTTTGTTCCCTTTTTTTTCACCTATGAGACTGAAAAAAGATCCAGAAATGGTTCAGGATGTAGGAAAATAGACACTTTAATAAACTGATGACTCAGGCTTAACCAGGTCTGTTTGACTCCAAAGCCCTTGGACGCTCTTAACCTCTATACCGTGCTTTCTCTCACTACGCCAATACTGCATTTCTTCTTGTGTGGAAAAACATTGGTTTTTTTTGTTTTTTTTTTTCCCATTTGATTTCTAGTCGCTTTAGTGTTTACCTCAGAAAAGTATTATAGCTTGAGAATCACCAATTGCTTTTAAAAATAAAAGCATATACAGTAAAACCTGCGGAAGCTGGAAACTGTGTAAGGCAGAAACCTGTCAGAGAAGGAAAACTCAAATATTTTCCACTAAAGTGAGCCATAGAAAAGTGGTAAGACTGCACCCTGACAAAAGTGGAAACCTTGCAAGACCCAAAAAAATCAAGGTAGTCCTGTTGAATTCCGGCTCTCACAGATTTCAGTGTATATATATATATATATATATATTTGAGGCAGGAGGATCAGGGAGGTGGGAGTATTTTCTGAGGCTCCCTATGAGTAGCCTCAAAATTGAAAACTAGAAGGTTTAGAATCTTAAAATGAAAATGCTTTGTTGAGAAGCATTTCAATGAATAAATTGTATAGTAAATTACACAGCAGGCATCTGTAGTAATTTGTACAGGGTAGATTATTCATTCTGATATGAAATCATCACTATCTTTAAAATGTATTAAATTATGCTTTTCTTACTACTGTTTATCAAGAGCCCAAAATGTGGGTTATAACCACTCTTAGCATCTCATCTGATTGATTTTGAGTGACAAGTGGCTTATAGTATTTTAGTATAATGTTGCAGATAATACTTGCTGAAATACTAATCCATTTATAGATAATTGATTGATTCATATATTCTTTAATTCAGCAAATAGTTCTTGAGTGTATGGAATCTGCCACACAGTCTGTGATATACTAGAAAATAGCAATAAACAAGACCAACAAGGCCTGTCTCCTGAATGATCTTTTTTTTTTTTTAATTTTATTGTGGTAGAATATATATAACCAAAAATTTTCCATTTTAACCATTTTTAAGTGTACAGTTCAATGACAATAATTACATTCACCATGTTATGCAACCGTCAGCACTATCTATTTCCAAAAGTTTTTCATCACCCCAGGCAAAAACTCAGTACACCTTAAGCAATAACTCCCCCTACCCTCCTCCCTCCAGCCCCCAGAAACAACTATTAAATTTCTGTTTCTATGCATTTGCTTATTCTATATAGCTGAAGGATTTTTTATAAAACCCTTATTATAATCCATTTTAACCCAGGTTTAAGAATGGTGAGGAGATCTACGCTGGTCCAAAATCAAGGTATCGAGTTAAAGTTGACGGCAAAAAACACACTTTGATCATAGAAGACGCAACAAAAGCTGACACCGCAGAATACTCAGTAATGACAACAGGAGGACAATCATCTGCTAAACTTAGCGTTGACTGTAAGTAAGGCTTCTTTAGATATCTTCCAAGTTGTGCTTACTAATGATTTGCGTGTTTGTGAATTATGTTTTAGGCAAGTTTCAATCTGTGTGATTCCTACTTGTGGCAATTTTAGCATGTAAAATTAGATTCCATTCTAGCTGACTTGCTATGTCAGATCAATCAGGTTCTCTGAGAAACTCACCAATTTAGTAGTTGAGCACCAATAAAGGGAAGCGTTTTTGTAAATCCCCTGCCAGAAAAGTTACCCAAATGATTAAGAAATACTTTTATCCCAACAGCATATACATAAATATTAAATACTTAGATATGATGTCAAATCTTGATAATGTTTGCTGAATCCATAAGCAAACTTGCTATTCACCCATTAAATAAACATTCAACACTCTCCAATTATATTTGGAATGAGAAGAAAGTTACTCAAACCAAGGAAGCTTAATTGACAACATTGTAAGAGTTAATTTGCTAACAGGCTTCAGAGTCATGAGAGACTTAATGTACATCTCCAAATGCCCCAAACAGTAGTCAGTTCTCAATATCAGTCTGTCCCTGTTGGCCATGACAATTAAAATAGCAAATATCCCAGGATGATTGGTAATACATGCAGAGAAGAAATTCTGCTTCCTTACTGCTTTCTTAGCCCAGTTGCAATTCATATCATCACTGAATTATTCAAAAGCAATCTCAATACACTTGCTGTGTTTCATGGATTGAGGCCAGTTTAGTTTAATATTAACAAAATGTCAGCAATAGATACTTATCTAATATTTGTATCCATTTAAAGCAATTGTAGTCAGTTCTAACATAATACAACATATACTTTCCTAAAATTCACCATTGTGTGCAAAGTCACATAATAAAAACCACAGGGCTTATGGAAAAAATGGGGTTGGGGTACAGCACTCCAGAACTTTTTCCCAGTGATACAGTAGCACTGTGTTACACATGGTAAATGGTTACTAAATACTACAATAAGTATGGCACTTTACCTTGAAAAAGACCTGAAGTTTGCTTGTGGAAGTGAGTGTTGAAGTGTTGTAGTTTGTGCTAGTGAAGTGGTAGAAGACAGATTATTTGAATCAGATGGAAAATTATAACCTCAGATGTGGTTGAGTGTGGCTGAAATCACACACATAATCTGAGGTAGCTGGTAAATGTTTGAGTACGTGTGTGCGTTTTGTGAATCCCTAACTGTCTCAGTTCAACTGGGTGCAATTTCCTGCATTTGCTTAGCTTTTCTCATGAATGAAATTGTGCTGAGCAAACATGAAATGCATATTTCACTCAGATTGTTCCCTAATGTATCAGTTGTTTTAAGACAAAGTCTCATTTTCAAGACAGGTGTTCCAGCAAAACTGACTGTACCATTGTGAGATGATAACATGTTGTCTGGAGTTTGGTTTGACATTTGTAATGGTCCATTTATTTCTGTAGGAGTCCCTGGGTGGCACAAATGCTTAAGTGCTGGACTATTAACCGAAAGGTTGGTGGTTCAAACCCACCCAGAGGCACCTCAGAAGTAAGGCCTGACATTTTGTTTTCAGTAGGTCATGGATTTGAAAGCCCTGAGTGGTGCGGTTCTACTCTGCACACTTGGGGTTGCCATGAGTTGGAATCCACTCAATGGCAACTAACAACAACAATTTATTTCTATAGTGAAACCTCTGAGGATATTGACGCCTTTGACTGATCAGACTGTAAAACTTGGAAAAGAAATCTGCTTGAGGTGTGAAATCTCTGAATACATACCAGGAAAATGGACTAAAAATGGCCTACCTGTTCAGGAGAGTGACCGTCTTAAGCTTTTTCACAAAGGAAGGTAAGCAAGCTAGGTGATCCCCAAGTGAGGGCTGGTCCCCATCTCTTCCCTCTCTACTTTCTAAATTACATATTTGGTAAGAATGTTTGAAGAGTGGCCATGGAGGGGAGGATCTATTTCTGGATCTTTGCTTCCAGCTAGCAGGAAGGTATGATTTCTGTATAGTACATTATGTCCTACCAGTGATCTTGTGTCTGCACCTCACCCTACAGTGCTTTGCTTATTCAAAACCCATTGACTGATTCTGTCTAGATAAACGTGAGGTTAGAGGAATGATACTGAATTCTAGTTGAGGAACTGGTCAAAATTATTTAACAGTCCTTAACCAGTAAGTGTCAAATGACTTTCCACTATTTTTTTTTTTTATAAATGTATGTTGTTATTTGTCATCAAGTCTCCCCAACTCATGGCAACCTTATATATAACAGAACAATAATGTGAGCCATCTTCATGGTCTTTGATATGTTTGAGCCCATTGTTGAGGCTATTGTGTCAATCCATCTCATTGAGAGTTTCCCTCATTTTCGCCGACCATATGCTTTACAAATGTGACGTCCTTAGAATATAATATGCTATAATCTAGAAAAGGTCTAAGGCAAGGTTTCTTAACCTTGAACCCATGAGCCCTTAGGAGATCATAAATTGACTTCAGGGAGCCCCATAAGTCCTCTGAAATTGAAAGCAAAATTCTGTATGTATAATGATACATACCTTTCTCCAGAGAAAGAATCCATACTGTCTATGAGCTCTTCACTAGTTCATGACCCCAGTAAGGTTAAGAACTATTGTTCTTAGGGTTTGGCATGTCAAATCAAAGTCAAGATTATTTTTGTAATTTTTTGACTTTGAAAGTATGGCATTATCGATATGTTCTGTTTTAGACTTTTTTTAAAGATATGAGAAAAAGAAAGAAATAATAGACTCTTGCATACATAATAAGTAGGCTGTCTTTGCAGAGGTATTTGTATATAATCCAAAATAAAGATTTGATGTTAATCAATATAGGATGATTAAGGCTTCACATGCTTTCTCCCTTTCTTTCTCCATTTTGCTCTCTCTTTCTTTCTCTGTCTGTCTTTCTCTCTCTCCAAACTTCAGTAAATCAATTAATCAGATAAAGGCCAAATATCTCTTCATGTTGGGTCATAACATACAATCTAAATCTTTGCAAAGTCTTAGAAATATGTTTTTCTCATTTCCATAGAATACACAAGTTAGTGATAGCCAATGCCCTCATTGAGGATGAAGGTGATTATGTATTTACACCAGATGCCTACTCTGTTACTTTGCCTGCCAAAGTTCATGTTGTTGGTGAGTAGATCAAAGAAATCATTGCAGAGTTGTGTTTTTGTTTGTTTTTACTTACCTTGGAATTATAACATATTCAAAACCATGTGGTACTTAAAGAAAAAATACATCAGTTAGTATTAATCACTAATCATAAATAGTTGATTATTTAGTCTTACACTGAAGTAGTTTTACAAGGTGACAGGTCCCAACTACCTGGATCCCTCTTATGTTCTTTCAGCCAGATAAAATACCAGTTGCTACCAACTTTTAGCACTAGTGAAGCACTAGCCCAGATATTCACATGGAAATGACTGTGTGGTAACAGAGGCCATGTTTAATATTCCAGACCCTCCTAAGATCATCCTGGACGGTCTTGATGCTGATAATACAGTGACAGTAATTGCAGGAAACAAGCTTCGTCTTGAGATCCCAATCAGTGGAGAACCACCTCCTACAGCCCTTTGGAGCCGAGCAGATAAGGTTTGATCTACCCTGCTACACACAAACAGCCCATTCCCTGACCTCTAATGAAGGGAAAAGGCAAATAAAAGTACAGGGGTTTGTAACCTATGTAATTCCTTTGAGAAAGAAAAGTCACTGATTTTCAGGAAAATCTAATAATCATTCATTGACTTTTCATATTTCTGACTACCTACTATATGTCAGGCATGTTTTTAGGTGCAGTGAACCAGGTCCCTTCTCTCCTAATGGGTGCCAGGGGTGGGATGAAAGAGAGGTAGACAATGAATTAGTAAATAAATAAGTTTATAAAACCACATCAGATAGTAATAAGTACCATGAAAATAATAAACCTGGGTGATGTGATGGCAAGTCACAGCCACTATAAACAACGACAAGGAAACCATTGTGTGACGATCAAAGGGAAGCATTTTCTGAGCAGATACAAGGCAAGTACAAAGGCCATGAGGAGGTAATGGGCTTGGTGTGTAAGAGAAATAGAAAGCCACTGTTGCTGGAGCAGAGTGAGTGAGGAAGAGAAGACTAAATAAGACTGGAATGGTAGAGTCGTGCCAGCTCAAGTGTGACCCTGTGACTTCCTACATAAAGTGTTTTACTTTTAAAAAGCAGAACATGAAATGTTCATGTCCAACCAGGATGGAGTAACAGGGACCAGATATACTCACTCACCTGACATAACCCCCCCAAAACAGGAAAAAAAACATATGAACCAATGATTTTCAAGATACTGACCATGGGCAATGAAACACAAGGATTCCTGAGAGATGGGAAATGAATGAAGAGAGCCCTATGTTTACCCCAGCTTACTACCCTGGTCCACCACTTGTGTGTCAGTACGTCATACTGTGGTGACTTGCATACTGCTGTGATACTGGAAGCTTTGCCACCAGTAATACAAATAACAGCAGGGTCACCTTTGGTGGACAGGTTTCAGCAGATTGTCCAAACTAAAACAGACTAGCAAGAAGGATCTGGCAGTCTACTTCTGAAAAAATTGGCCAGTGAAAACCTTATGAATAGTAGCAGAACATTGTCTGAATACAGTGCCAGAAGATAAGCCCCTCTGGTTGGAAGACACGCAAAATACACCTGAGGAAGAGCTGCTTCCTCAAAGTAGAGTTGACATTAATAACACGGATGGAGTCAAACTTTTGGGACCTTCATTTGCTCATGTGGCACGACTCAAAATGAGAAAAAACAGTTGTAAACATCCATTAATAATTGGAATGTGGAATGTAAGAGGTATATATCTAGGAAAATTGGAAGTTGTCAGAAATGAAATAGAATGCATAAAGATCGATATCCTAGGCACTACTGAGCTGAAATGGACTGGTATTGGCCATTTTGAATCAGACAATCATATGGTCTGCTATGCCAAGAATGACAAATTGAAGAGGAATGGATCACATTCATCGTCAAAAAGCACATTTCAAGATCTGTCATAAAGTACAGTGCTGTCAGTGATAGGATAATATCCATACACCTACAAGAAAGATCAGTTAATATAACTATTATTCAGATTTACACACCAACCACTAAGGTTAAAGATGAAGAAGTTGAAGATTTTTACCAAATTGATCAAATATGCAATCAAGATGCATTGATAATTACTGATGAATAGAATTTGAAAGTTGGAAACAAGAAGGATCGGTAGTTGGAAAATACGACCTTAGTGATAGAAACGATGCCAGAGATCGCATGATAGAATTTTGCAAGACCAAGGACTTCTTCACTACAAATATCTTTTTTCACCAACATAAACAGTGACTATACACATGGACCTTGCTAGATGGAATACACAGGGATCAAATCAACTGCATCTGTGGAAGGAGACGAGGGAGAGGCTCAATATCATCAGTCAGAATAGGCCAGGGACCAACTGCGAAACAGACCAACAATTGTTCATATGCAAGTTCAAGTTGAAGCTGAAGAAAATTAGAATAAGTTTACGAGAGCCAAAGTACAACCTTGAGTATATCTCACCTGAATTTAGAGACCATCTCAAGAATAGATTTGATGCACTTAACACTAATGACCAAAGACCAGACGAGTTGTGGAATGACATCAAGGACATCATACATGAAGAAAGCAAGAGGTCATTAAAAAGACAGGAAAGAAAGAAAAGACCAAAAAGAATATCATAAGAGACTCTGAAAGTCACTCGTGAACGTTGAGTAGCTAAAGCAAAAGAAGAAATGATGCAGTAAAAGAGCTGAACAGAAGATTTCAAAGGGCAGCTTGAGAAGACAAACTAAAGTATTATTATGAAATATGCAAAGACCTGGAGTTAGAAAACCAAAAGGAATGAACACACTCAGCATTTCTTAAGCTGAAAGAACTTAAGAAAAAATTCAAACCTTGAGTTGCAATATTGAGGGATTCTATCGGGAAAATATTAGACGACACAGGAAGCATCAAAAGAAGATGGAAGGAATACACAGAGTCACTTTACCAAAAAGAATTGGTCACCGTTCAATCATTTCAGGAGGTAGCATATTATCAAGAACTGATGGTACTGAAGGAAGAGGTCCAAGCTGCACTGAAGGCATTGGCGAAAACCAAGGCTCCAGAAACTGACAGAATGCCAACTGAGATGTTTCAGCAAAGGGATGCGGTGCTGGAAGCGCTCACTCATCTATGCCAAGAAATCTGGAAGACAGCTACCTGGCCAACTGACTGGAAGAGATCCATATTTGTACCCATTCCAAAGAAAGGTGATCCAACATAATGCAGAAATTATTGAACAATATCATTAATATCACACACAAATAAAATTTTGCTGAAGATAATTCAAAAGCAGCTGCAGCAGTATATCAACAGGGAACTACCAGAAATTCATGTCAGATTCAGAAAAGGACATGGAACAAGGGATCTCATTGCTGATGTCAGATGCATCGTGACTGAAAGCAGAGAATACCAGGAAGATTTTTACCTGTATTTTATGGACTTTGCAAAGGCATTCTACTGTGTGGATCATAACAAATTATGGATAACGTTATGAAGAATGGGGATTCTAGAACACTTAGTTGTGCTCATGAGGAACCTATACTTAGATCAAGAAGCAGTCGTTCAAACCGAACAAGGTGATACTGTGTGGTTTAAAGTTAAGAAGGGTGTGCATTAGGGTTGCATGCTTTCATCATACTTATCAATCTGTATGCTGAGTAAAAATAGCCTGAGAAGCTGGACTATATGAAGAAGAACGCAGCGTCAGGATTGGAGGAAGACTCATTAACAACCTGCCATATACAGATGATACAACCTTGCTTGCTGAAAGTGAATAGAAGTTGAAACACTTATTGATGAAGATCAAAGACCACAGCCTTCAGTATGGATTACACCTCAACATAAAGGAAACAAAAATCCTCACAGTTGGACCAAGAAGCAAAATCATGATACACAGGGAAAAGATTGAAGTTGTCAGGGATTTCATTTCACTTGGATCCAAAACCAACGCCCATAGAAGCAGCAGTCAGGAAATCAAACGATGCATTGCATTAGGCAAATCTGCCGCAAAAGACCTCTTTTAATTGTTAAGAAGCAAAGATGTCACTGTGAGGACTAAGGTGCGCCTGACCTGAGCCATGGTGTTTTCAGTCACCTCCTATGCATGCTAAACTGGACAATGAATAAAGAAGACCAAAGAATCGACGCCTTTGAATTGTGGTGTTGGAGAAGAATATTGAATATACTATGGACTGTGAAAAGAATGAACAAATCTGTCTTGGAAGAAGTATAACTAGAATGCACCATAAAAACAAGGATGAGGAGACTCTGTCTCATATACTTTGGACAGGTTATCAGGAGGGACCAGTCCCTGGAGAAGGACATCATGCTTGGTAGTCAGCGAAAAAGAGGTAGACCCTAAATGAGATGGATTGACATAATGGCTGCAAGAGTGGACTCAAGCATAACGATTGTGAAGATGACGCAGGACTGGGAGTGTTTCTGTTGTGCATAGGGTCACTGTGAGTCAGAACCGACTCAACAGCACCTAACAACAACAACAACCCAGGTACTAAAGAGTAGAAAGTTTAGCAATTTACCGAGTTTCCAAATTGCCTTGACCTTCTCTGTTTATTCTCTCTGTATACCGGCTATTCATTATTACGTAGAAGGTATGGTCTGGGAATCAGAAAAAAATATAAAGCTGCTTAAAGTTTCTGGATTAGTAAAGAAGTAAAAAAGGAAGAAAATTTTACGAGAAGCTCAACTTCTCTCCGTCTTTGAGAATTAGACGTTCATTCTTCCATGTCTGACTGGAGGGGAGAAATCAACATTCAACAACCTGTATGGAAAGAGGGGAAAAATCAACATTCAGCAACCTGTATGGAAAGTTGGCCTTGTGGTCTTCTTTAATCCTTTTCAGTATTTTTAAATTTTCAAGATGTCTAAGGGAATGAAGAAATCACTATTTAGTCTCTGGCACAGTGATTAAGAGCTCAGGCTGCTAACCAAAAGCTCAGTAGTTCAAATCCACCAGCCGCTCCTTGGAAACCCTATGGGGCAGCTCTACTCTGTCCTATAGGTTTGCTACGAGTTGGAATCGATTCGATGGCAACAGATGTGAGTTTGAGTATTTCTTTCTTTCTTTTTTAAATGATTTTTTATTGTGTTTTCAAAGAAAATTTACGCAGCAAATTAGGTTCTCATTTGAAAATTTCAACATAAATTGTTCGGTGACGTTAGTTACATTTTTCACAATGTGTCAACATTTTTATTAATTGCATTCTGGTTGTTCTGTTTTCAGTACTCTAGTTTCCCTGCCCCCCCCCCAGTCTTCTCATCTTTGCTTTAGAGTAATTGTTGATCTTTTGGTCTCATATAGATGGTTTTTTAATGCGGCCCCATACTCATGGGTGATATCCTTTATTTTTGTGCCAACCTGTTATTTCACTAAAAGGTGACTTCTGGGGATAGTTTTGGTTCAAGGTTTAAAGAGTATCTCAGGGTGAGAATCTCAGGGAGTCCTCCAGTCTCAACTGGTCTAGTAAGTCTGGACTTTTTCAGAATTTAAGTTCTGTTCCATGTTTTTCTCCCATTCTATCTGGGTCCACCTGTTGTGGCCCTGATCAGAACGGTCAGCAGTGGTAGCTGCACACTATCTAGTTCTTCTGATCTCAGGGTAGAGACGCTATGGTTTGTGTGGGCTATTAGCCCTGTAGGCTAGTTTCTTCTCTGAGACTTTGGTTTTCTTCTTTCTCTTTTGCTCCTAACAAGTAGAGAACAGTAGTTGTGTCTTAGATGGCCGTTTGCAAGCTTTTTAAGACCCCAGATGCTACTCACCTCACTAAGATGCAGAATGTGAACTTTGTGGTGCCAGTTGACTGATTTGTCCCATGAGACTAAGGACCTAAGCCTTCCAGCCTAGAAAACCATTCTCGCAAGATGTTGAGCTTGAGTATTTCTAATTTCATACTCAGAGAGGCTCCGTCCCCTAGAATTACTCTTCTGCACTCATATTTAAGTCCTCTTTCTCTTGGGTGAGTTAGTGGTTAATGGGCTTTAGAGTTAAGTCACAACTCTATTACTTCCTAGCTATGTGGCTTTGGGCAAGTTAAGCCTCGGTTTCCTCATGTGTAAAATGGGATAATAATACCTTTGTCATTGAGGTTGTTGGCAAATTAAACTGAGAAAATGTAGTTAGGCATTAGCACCATGTCTAGCTTGTGTTATGAGGTACTCCAGGGTAGCCCTTGTTGTTGTGTAGATCATGCCACTTTTTATTTCTTTCCTTCTTAGGCTATTATGGAGGGTAGTGGCCGGATAAAGGCAGAATCTTACCCTGACAGCAGCACTCTGGTCATTGACGTAGCTGAAAGGGAAGACTCAGGTGTTTACCACATAAATCTGAAAAATGAAGCTGGAGAAGCACATGCAAGCATCAAGATTAAAGTTGTGGGTAAGCTCTCAGGAATAAGCTTCTGGAGTCAAGTTGACATGTCTAGATCCAGAGCAGAATTTGCTGTTGGTTCTCTCAGGTTTACTGGGCAGCCCACAAAAGAAAAGCATAGCATAGCAATAGCTCATAAATTACCACCTCTCTTTTTCTACCATTTCCACCACTTCTTCTCTTTTCTTGCCTAGAAGGCTCCTCAGGGAGCCCTGGTGGCACAGTGGTTAAGTGCTCAGCTTCTAACCAAACGATTGGTGGTTTGAACTCACCAGCCACTCCATGGGAGAAAGATATGACAGCCTGCTCCCATAAAGATTACAGCCTTGGAAACCCTATGGGGGAAGTTCCGCTTTGTGCTATAGAGTCACTATGAGTTGGAATCAACTCAATGGCAGTTTTGGTAGGTTAGAGGGCTCCTCATTGTAGGGTAGCTAATGTTAGTCATTTAGGGTTGTTAATCATTAGCTCTCAATAGACATATTCCTTTCTGGTGCCCTTTAAACATCACTGAACATGATTGCTAAATAAATTACTGCATCAAAACCATTTGAGAGGAGTTAGATGAGCCTTGGTCTCTAGCTGGCCATCTAAGTGCATTTTCCCTAAGCCTGAAACCAAGTGAAATGACTCTAGGAGGTTATCAGTGTTCCAGAGTTTCATGATCTTTTCTTCTCACTTTAATTTTCTGTTAAGAAATATATTTTAAACTGACACACACAAAAAAAGTCATTTTATCATACCCTGAACTATATTTACAAGACATGGTAGCTTGCCATTTCTAACTTGGCTTTTTACAATTCAATGTCTAAAATCTTCCAACTGATATAAAATTTGATTCCTGAACTGAATTCCTTGACTCACTTCTGCTGGAAATCTGATTTGTAGTTTGAAAAAATACCCCATATCCTACATTCAGCAATAATTTTCTAGATAACAAACAAGAGCCTTGGGTTCCCCTCGGAGCTTGTTCTCTAATGTTGTGACACTGGTTTAAGGGATTTGGGGAAATCATTATTTTTATTTTTATTGGGCAGCCCTTTTCTTATCTTATCTTGAACATGACTTTTTACTCAAATTAGTACTGCTGCATTTTAGTAGACATAGAAAAGTGCTCTATGATTATTACCAAAAAACATTATTTTCCAATTAACATGTTCTTTGTTCTCTTTCTTTCATTTTATTTTATTATTTAATTTTTTGTTTGCTACAGACATCCCTGATCCTCCAGTGGCACCCAGTGTGACAGATGTAGGAGATGACTGGTGCATCATGCACTGGGAGCCTCCTGTCTACGATGGCGGGTCTCCAATCTTAGGTAACTGTTGGTTAGTCTATGGAACTGTCAGTGGAGTTGGTGTCCTCTTTGTGCACATTAGTATAGAATGCATTAAAAATATTGCATTTAGAAGAAAACTGATTATACTGTGACTTTAAATACCCATTTAAATGGTAATATATTAAGGATACTCTATAATTTCTCGAAGTTTCAATAGCTCTGATGAATATAATTTGATTGTTCTCTTTTCTGTTGTATATTTATACTCAATATCTAATTTTGAAACAATAAATCTAACTTAAACTGTTGTGGTTAATAAATGTCTAGTTCCATAGGGTTGTATCTATGAAGAAATTTCTTTTAGAGTTAAATGCTTAGAAGAATTTGCTTCCTCTTAGAAATGAGAATTTCTTCTCCATCTTGATAATGAGACTATCAAAACTGGTCATTTCCCCTTTCTTACCTTCAGTGAAAGGGACTCAGAGCCAAATCTATTGCTCAATTATAGTGACTGTGTAAGTTGCTATGGCCTACTTATAAGCTGTACTATTTTTCTCTCTTCTCTCCCTCATTAAATTTTTTCTAGTCCTGTTATTTTATCTTTATCTGTATCTTATGATGCTAATATTTATAGTCTTTATAATCTATCTCACACAATTATGAATGGGTTAAAAATATATATGTGTGTGTGTACATATGTATAGCTATGTACACACATATATGAATATTTAGTTTATAGTACCTACTGAGACTATGTAAATTTTTAAGAATTACTAATATCTGCCAAACTTTAATTTTGAAGACCAAGGGAAAACCTTTAGTTTCCACTTTGTGTCACCTCCAGGATACTTTATTGAGAGAAAAAAGAAACAAAGCTCCAGGTGGATGAGGCTAAATTTTGATCTCTGCAAAGAAACAACTTTTGAACCCAAGAAGATGATTGAAGGTGTGGCCTACGAGGTCCGCATCTTTGCTGTTAATGCCGTCGGCATCTCCAAGCCCAGTATGCCCTCCAAGCCTTTTGTTCCTTTGGGTGAGTTAAGAGAGATGTGTCTTTGTCATGGGAATCATTGCCTCCGATTCTGACTGCTCCCCTCTAACTGGAGCAGGCCTGGAAGCTTCTTGGCATGGTGGGTGAATAGGAGGTTGGAGGTGGGTAAAGGCAATTGGCTGTCTAAAAAACTTAAAAACAACTATAGTAGATTTGAAGAGCTTCACAATATAGGCCCCAGAATTCAGTACTAGAATGTCAATGATAGCTGTAGGTGGCTCCAGCTGTCATTTCCCACTGAAAACACACAGGTGAGTTTACTGACCCAAGACCCCTGTCCAGTGATCCTCCTCAAGATATAAATAACCCAGTCAGTACCTTGGTGTAAACATTTTGACTAAAAAGAACTGAGATCGATTCAACAAACCATACCTGGAAACTGGTCTATTTGCTTTACAGTCACACCTTACATATTGTCTATTGAACCAAAATATTTAGTTCAGTGAAGGCGAAGAAACAGAAGGTAAGATGTCTCCCCTATTTTATGGTGGAGGCTCTGGGTGGTGCAAACGTTTAATGCACTTGGCTGCTAACTGAAAGGTTGGAGGTTTGAGTCTACCCAGAGGTGCCTTGGATGAAAAGCCTGAAGATCTGCTTCCTAAGACTCAGCCACTGAATACCCTATGGAGTACAATTTTATTCTGACATACATGGGGATACCATGAATGGAGATGATTCAACGGCAATTGTTTTTTTTTTTTTTGGTAGTGAAGTATTTTTCCCATGCGAAGATATAGTACAAGAGTTTACACTTTAATTAGAGAGTTATAAGAAATTTGCTCTAGATCAGTAGATCCCAAACTTTGAATTCTTCAACTTCCTTAGACCTCTATTCTCCCGCACCAGCCTCCCAAACTATAGGGAAAACTATGGCGGCATTTCCAAAATTTTCCATGTCTAGCATGTCTTTGTCTTACATACAGCATATGCTTAAGGAATGTTTATTGAATTTTATTGATTAAGACTTAGGGCTTCTGTATATTTTTATTTTTCTCACGGTTCATTTTATCACAGTTCTCATGCCATAACTCTGTAGTTAACAGTTTCTTCTTTTTCTCTTTTAAGCTGTAACCAGCCCTCCCACTCTTCTGGCTGTTGACTCTGTAACGGACAACTCTGTCACGATGAAATGGCGACCCCCAGACCATATTGGAGCAGCAGGTTTAGATGGCTATGTATTAGAGTATTGCTTTGAAGGAAGTAAGTACTACTAGTAAGATGACTTCCTAGAGCTTAAAATGAATACCACCATCAATAGGTGAGATATGCCTTTCTTTTGTTTATCTTTCTTGGGAGCTCATCTCCTTCCCACTGAAAATGAAATCAATTCAAATTTCATCCTTCTAAGATGTATTAAAATTTAGTCCTTCTTTGGTACTTGATGCTAATTGCAGTCTCAAAAATATCTTGTCTAGGCTACCAGATTGGGTGACATGATTAAACTAAGACACAGAAGGAAGGGGAGTCTGACAAAATTTTAAGGACTTCTGCTTTCCACAGCAAAATGAAAGTCTTGTTTGTTAGGATAAAGCAAATTGGAAATTCCAAACCCTATACTAAGCAGAGGTTAGGGATCAAAAGACCTGCCTATTCTTGGTTAATAATGAAACTTCATATTTAGACATTTGGTGAGCATCTCCTGCCTTCTTAAAGGGAAGGGGAGGGCAGAGAATAAAGACTAATTCTCAGAGTTTGAAGGAAGTAGCATTAAGTTTCAGATAGTATAGGAAATAGGTTCAACACGTGACAGTGACTTGTCTCATGACTTGAGCACGTACAAATTTAATAGCTCAAATTTAGGAGGGGAAGAGAAACAAGGCAAAAAAACAAAACAAAACACTGATAGAATAGCAAATGATACAAGAAAATATTGGCTAGAGTGCAAGTGAAAACCCAAGAAAAATGAAAGTCACTGAAAGCCTCTTATATTTCTTGGTTTCCTACTTGTCATGACTGGAAGGTTGTATCTGTTGAAAACAAGTGAGTAAAACTGTCCCAGCTCTGGACTCGGGCACCATTTGAGATGATGGTACGTAAACAGTGCACATGAGAAGTTGTTAGTATCTCCCCAAATCATAACCTAAGACTCGATTGCTAAGAAAACTCTTGGTCTCCCATCTTTAACACGGATCTTACAAATGAAGGGAAGAGAGACTACTAAGCACATTTGGGAAATCAGGAATGTGAAGGCCAATGCACCTCCTTAGGAGGGAAACCTCCATGGAGAAGAAACTTCTTAGGAAGAGAAAACTGCCAAAAGAGAAATCCCAGGCCCCCGGATTGGGGCACATGTGGGAATGATCACCATCACTGGTCAAGAGGGGAAAAGACAAGCAGAGAAGGAAATGGAGCCTACCGGTAACCGTCCTGTTCACATGGGCTCTGCTCACAGAGTACTATACGTGATCTTTCCAGGGCTTGGAAAGCCACTAACCCAAACCAGTGGGGAAATTATAAAAAAGTTCCCAGGGTCAACCCAGTCATGGAGGGGGGCAGCATCACTAATGCAACAGGTAAATTCTTGAGCACTTCAGGATGTGGTTTATTCCACTTCCTCCCATATCTCAAAAACTCGTGAGCGCGCCACTTTGTTTTTTACATTGTCCAGGCAGCAGAATTTCCCAGTCTTATATGTGATGTGGCTGCTGAGCACAAACCTTTTTTATATGTATGAAACAGAGCAAATTCTTTACTCTTTTCTTTCTGATAGGTTTAAAAAGTAAGAAGATACAGCAAAATGATAGATGGCTGTCATTTTCATGTTACCCACCTTAGATAAAATACAACGAAGTGTATTTTACATAATTTTGTGTGTGGTCTGCGTAGATACATATGTATGTGTGTATATACATATGTATATGTACACAGTCATTATTATGTATATATTTTGCCACATAACGTCTTGGAATTAGCTTTCTATGGAAGTTCTTTTATAACGTCTGTATCTTTCTTCTTGCGGTCCTTCCTTACTTTCTTTATGTGGCTGCCCTATTCTTCAGTCTCTTTTAATGGCTGTTGTCCTCCAGACTAATTTTCTGTAGTGTTTATTGATTTTAGATATCTCAGGTTTTATTCTGTAAGAGAATTCTTTCTTTTATAAGATGGTGTGTTGTTTCTGACTGCCTTTCTCTTGTTGTTGTTTTGATGCCTGTGACATTTTATTCTCTGTTTTCTTTCTTCACTCAAGTTCGTTTATTCTTTATTTAAAATGTCTATCATGTCAAATAACTTTCATATTCCTTCCCCATCCCCTGGACACCATGTTCTTTCTCTCAGTCTCCCTCAATTCAAGTGGTTCAAATGTGAAGGGGTGGGCTATGTTTGTTCCCCTCTGATCTTTTTCCATCCTGTTTGCTCTTGAAATGTTCTCCTTTGCTGGTTCTTTACTCTTTCCTATGTGTTTTCTCATCTCCTGTTTTCACCTTCTCATCAATCATCTCTTGACTATGAAAATACCAACACCATAGCTCCCAAACAGACCGTTTGCTTAAAGCAGTGTCTCTTTTTCTAAGTCATAAGTCACTTTTGTCGACCACATCCCCTCCTAGCTGCCAGGATATTCTGGCTTCCTGCTCCTTCTCCCCAGTACTCCTCGTAAAGTTGGAACAAGAGACAGGAAAGGGTTCTCAGGAGTGGCCGGTCCTCTTTCCTTCTAGAAAGTCATCACTGCAAACCAGGGGGTATGCCCAAGGCCACCTTGAGAGCCAGCAAGATCCCCTCTACCCACGTGGAATACAGGGGCCCAGGCAGGCTCAATTGGTTTTCTGGACACAGAGCTTGTTGTCCTGGCAACCAGGGCTGCCTCCTGGGCTACTGGGGCAGTTCCCATTTCAGTTCCCTTCAGAACTAGAGCCCTGGTAAGACAGAGATGGCATTGTCACAAGTGACTCCCAGACTCTGATGAGTGAACCCCACAGTGATAGCACTGTACCCGGGGACCCAAGAGGATCCTCCTAGACTAGGGTGACAGGGACAGGGGCAAGGATAGACTGTTCCACCATGTGCTGCTCCCTGTGGACCCCAGGGCCTGCGCCTCCTTCTTCTTCAGCCCTGCTTTGTTCGTCCCTACCTCTTGTTCCCACAGCTGGAGGTGCCCCAGCCTCCTTCCCCTTCTTCTCTTTTCCTCTCCCTGCTCGTCTTTGTGGCAGGTGCCTCAGGACGAGAACCGCAGCCTGAACACAGCAGGCTGTGCCTCTCCTGAGGAGCCCCCACTAATATGTTTGTTCTCTTCCGTCGCTGCTCTGAAGACAAATATCTTTGCATACGTTGCATCCTTTACTAACAGAGAATGCTGACTACTGATAACGATATTCTTCTGGTGTGAAAAGTGGGTGTCTTTAATTAATTTTAATGACGGACTCTCAAAGGTACATCAGCAAAACAGTCTAATGAAAATGGGGAGGCTGCGTATGATATACCAGGTAAAGTATTTTATGAAAGCTCTCAAACTTTCTTACTATGTGGTAAAGTTCTGGGGATGCTCCATGACTGAGAATGAAGTACACCCACCATCCACACACAAGAAACCCTTAGACTTGGGGTGGGGGGATAAATTAATAATGTGTGCTCCAAACGTTCTTCTTTTCCTGTGGGCATAATGCATACAAACTTTCAGAAGATGAAATATTTGAAAGCCCTTAATGCTGGGTTTAAATTCTCTTGATGCTGTAGACAAAGCTACCAAAAGCTAAAATAAAAAAAAAAATCTGATTTTTAGTAAATGGGAAAGAATTGTGCCATCTCCTTGTGAGGTTTTGACTTCTGACCTGTGTTTCCTCTTTGCCGTGGATGTGAGCTTCTTTTCTTCACAAATGGGAACATGATCAGATTCCCTATGCTCATATTAGTGGCTTTCAATAATAAATCAGCCAAGAAAAAACAGAGAGATTATATGCCTAACAAAGGTTGACGTCTCTCATTCATAGGAATAGCATTTTCCTCTTTTTTCTGACTTTTAATGTATATATATGGTTAAATATCATGGTTACACTAATCATAATAAGACCAAATTGGAACAATACTGCTGTCAAATTATTGGGAACAGTTACTATTATTTGGGATATACTAGTATCCTGAATAAGAATTTTTTTTCAGAAATAACAGAATCTGATCGTTTATCCTTCTTCCTGTTGTTTATGTTAGCCATTTTAAGCCATTTTTCATTTAAATGTGAAAAATACTCACCCATGTAGTCTGAGTCCAGACCAAAATCAGATTCACTCCCAGAGATTTCATTATGAATAAAATACTAATTTGGAGTCTATTGTAACGATTATCATGACTTCTTTCACTAAGCACCATTCCTCCTTGTTTTTTTTTTTTTTTTTTTTTTCTTTCATGGATTTCAGCTGACCACTGGATAACTGCAAACAAAGAACTGATTGAAAAGACCAAGTTCACCATCCCAGATCTGCCCACGGATGCAAGGATCTATGTGCGCGTGAAGGCTATGAATGCGGCCGGCGCCAGCGAGCCTAAGTACTATTCACAGCCTATTCTCGTAAAGCAAATCATAGGTAGGCGGCAAAGCTTTAAAAATTCTTTCTCTGTTCTCCATTGTTTGCTTGTATTTATGTTTTTTAACTTCTTTCTTTCTCAAAACCTCCTATTTCTTCGTTCTTAGGTGTCATCGAGTCAATTTTGACTCATAGCGACCCCAGGTGACAGAGTAGAACTGCCTCTTATGGTTTTGTAGTCTGTAATCTTTATGGGAGCAGATTGCCAGCTCTTTCTCTCACAGAGCAGCTGGGGGGGTTTGAACCATCATTTTGGTTAGCAGCCACACAGGGCTGCTTCCTATTTCATTACTGCTTTGATATTTTACTAATGCCTCCGGGGAGTTAGAAATGAACAAAACAACCCTTTTCAGGCATGAGTAAAAGATACATTCCAAACACAAGGTAGACCAGTGGGTTTTAATGTAACAGAATAGAAAGTTTACTGATGTGGTTTCAAATTCCACATTGCAGCTAACCTTTAAGAAAACTACCACTTATCATGTTTTAGTATAGAATCAAAGAGGAATATCCACAATTAGCTGAAAATTTTATTAAAATATTCCTCCCTCAGGGTGAGGGTTATTCACTAACTAGATAGTAGACAAGAATTTTCTTAGGTGAAGGGAAAGACAGCACACACTACAGGGGAAGTCAGCACAACTGAACTAAACCAAAGCTAAGAAGTTTCCTGAATACAATCAAACACTTCGAGGGACAGAGTAGTAGGAGCAGGGGTCTGGGGACCATGCTTTCAGGGGACGTCTAGGTCAATTGG